TAAGTTGTGTTTGATTCGCCTCGATTCTCTACAGCGAGGACGCGTTAGCCCAGGATTGGCCCCGCCGCCCGCTCTATGCTTTTCCCCCGATTTCTCTGCTACCGCTGGTCATTCAGAGAATCAGGGACACACGCCACTCGGTGCTCCTCATAGCCCCGCGCTGGGAGAATCAGATTTGGTTCCCGGAGCTTACGCAGCTTTCACGGACAGCCCCGTGGCCCATTCCAATCAGAGCAGATCTCCTCACTCAAGCTCGCGGCTCGATCTGGCATCCCCATCCACAGCGCTGGGCGCTTCATGCATGGGTGACCAACGACTACTCGTCAATTTGCCAGAAGGAGTTCTGAACACGATCAAACAGGCCAGAGCGGAATCTACTAGAAAGCTCTATGCTGCAAAATGGTCTGTGTTTTCTAGATGGTGCACCGACAAAAACTTGGACCCACGGACGTGCGAGGTTTCGTCTTTGCTCGTGTAATGAATCTTGGCCAGGCGAGTTACATCAACACATACACGCACACACAAACCTTTCACTTCCCCCACACATCGGAATGTGTGGAATGTTTTTGAACAAAGAGAAGGACTTTTGGTGTTTAAAAACATTCAACAAAATGTTTTCAATGGTTTTTATGTATATGTGTCTTCCCCATGTCACAGTGAAATAACTTTGTTTGATCACAGTTTAAATAGGAATTAAAAATACCTTCGTCATGCATTTGAAACATAAGTGTATATTCCTTTGATATAACATAATGTTCCTTGATATCTCTAGAATGCTTATTGAATGAAACACTCGAATATGCATAGAGATGTAAAGTAAAGTGTATTTTTAATTCGTTGTACTGCCAATGAAGATCAAATTGCTATTGCAAAACCCTCATTTAACACACCCCCTTCCACGAGAAGCGCGCGCTGAGGAACAAAAGAAAGCTTCCCGCGTGCAACATCCACTCTCCGATTGGCTCAAGCCAACAGGAAGGGGATGGATTTCTCCAAGGTGATAAATGTGAGAACGCAGGTCCGCCCACTCTCTTCTGAACTTTCCAGCGCTCAACATGTAAACCTCACGGGACTCTGATCCAACCATGGGTCTTTCCTTTTGTTCGTCTAAAAGTTTCATCTTTTCCTCAAGTGGACTACCAAGTTCGTCTTCCAGGAAAGGAAGTGGACTTTGCCGAACTATCTCCTCGGGTAACGTCACCTCAAAGACTCTCAGCCTTTCAAACACTGGCGCTAAATGCCGACGAACGCCACGTGACTCCCCACGGAACAAAGCAGCCATGAACGAGCCGGGACGGGCCGCGCAAACATGCATGCTTCACGTGACGCACGCGCGCCGGACCGGCGCACCTCTAGCCGACACGTGGCCCGAACGGGTCGAGCAACGAGCCCACGACTCACACAGACCACATGTGCCTTGCAAGTATACCTTCTTTTAGAGCTTCTAAGAAGCATTAAGAAGATGTTTTTGGGGTGTCCAGAAAGGTTAACTGACTGTTTTGATGAACGTAACTCTCTCTCTCTCTTACAACTCACTCTCTCTCTCACTCTCTCTCTCAAACTCACTTAACTTGCGCGTATCCATTGTCTAAACGCTCTGCGTCGTCTTAGTTTGTGTTTTAATGTTTGTAAATACATGTATCATTGTAACGTAGTGAATGCTTAAGTAGTAACTTTATTAAATGCAAAATATGCTTACCTTGACTGATTGTCTTGCTCATAATACGGGTCAATGAAATGTCAATTTAAAGCTACACGCTTTACAGAACTATAAATACCTAAGAGGGTATTTGGTTATAGAGCAGGGAAGGCAGATTCTAGTGGCCACAGAATTTGTTTTCACAAGCTATATAACTTAATTGAGCTAATTGATTTTGCCTGTCTTGTAAAACGTGGTCCTTGCAATCAATAACAATTAATTTGTGGTTGATTGCGGGGATGCACATGTATGCATATGGGTAAAATTAATAAATTAACATGTAAGACCGGTCTGATCCAAATCTGTATGAATAATTATTAATTATCAATTATTAATTATGATATGCAAATTCCCCCCTGATCAGAACCGACCCAGAGTCTTTACACTCGTGTTCCTTCAGGAGATGCTGGATAAGGCCAGGTCCCCATCCACTCTAAAGGTTTACGTGGCAGCCGTCGCGGCGTTCGTTGAACCCCGGCGCGCCCAGTCGTTGGGCAAAGACGAGCTAATTATCTGCTTCCTCAGAGGAGCCAGAAGGATGAACCTGACATTTGTGTGGCTGCGGGATGGGCCTCCCCCTCCACTTTTATCAGATTCTATAACTTGGAAGTTCCCGCCTTACAGGCTAAATTACTGGCGGTCTAGTACTATACAGCTCTCCTTTAAGAAGCTGCACTATTGGGAGTCCTATCACAACCGGTTCGCCCCTTGTGCTTCCCCCCTATGTGCTTATGCGTGATACGTTCACGGCCCGCTATGCCGGCCGCCTTAAGGGCGTTTTGCATTAGATGATAACGGCCGCTATGCTGGCCGCCTTATTGTCTTCTTCCACCTTAAGATTCCCCCGGTGTTTTTCCCCCTGGGATGCTTAGTGGTTACATAGCGCGCACGGCATTGACCAGATGTTCCCGTAGCGTAAGCTAGCTTACGCAATACGAGAGAACCTCTCGTAAGAGAACGAATCGGTTACCTAACGTAACCTCGGTTCTCTCTAGATGAGGGAACGAGTATTGCGTTCCCGGCCGTGCTTGCGCCACCAGCGTTTCGCTTCATGCTGACAGAATCAACGAACGAGCCTGGGAGAGCTTGTTTTATACACTGCAGCCACGCCCCTTTCGGCGGGCTCTGACGCAATGAGCGAGCGCCGTCCGCTCATTGGCAGCGGGCTCAGCGCTGCTCTCCCATAGGTTCATGCATTCTCTCTGAGCGAACCAACGAGCTGCTAGCTAGCCCCGCTCACGGTCTGCCTCAGAGAGAGTGCGTTGACAATGATTACAAAATTATGGAATAATTTTTTGGCTTCAACTGCTCAGCAAAGATGAATCTTTCCCGTAGCGCAATACTCGTTCCCTCATCTAGAGAGAACCAAGGTTACGTTAGGTAACCGATTTGTTTTATTATATATAGCTAACAGGGGAGCTCCAGTAACCGTAAAGTTACGTTTCCAACGTGTATTTACATAACCATACATCTTAGATACGCTTATTTAAAATGTCTATTTACATCAGGAAGGAAAATATTGTATAAGTATTGCAGTTGAGCACATCCTAACATGAAAAAAATGTGTGTGCTATTATGTAGGATAATTCACTGTTGTCAACACTGCTTACATTAGACAAATTATGTGCTGTGAATAAAAACATCTATAAAGTAACTAAACATGATATATATTTAATTTGTCCCTTATTGGTGTTGATATATTGAGGAACATTTAAGTTGGATTAAAAGTGAGTTAACACATCAACCTCAGCATGTAAATGCAGTGTTGAGCTCGTAATGTGAATCTTGTCTGTATGTTACAGGGACAGAAGAACACGCGTGTGTTTATCCGGTGGAGAGAGGCTCATGATGCTGAATGCTGTCATCAAAGAATGGGAACCGCTGTGTTGAGTCGGCACTGCAGTAGGGTTTGGGGTTCAGTGCCTGTAAATACATGCTTGTAGTTTGAATAAAGCTGTTTAATGTGTTGACTTGTATATGCATTTGTTTATGTTACTTTTATTTACTTTTATTTGTTCTTTTACTCATTTATTCATGTTTCTTATTGTTGTCAGTATATAAAATGTAATTAATTTATGCATTAATTCATCGATTGACTGACAATTGAGATGTTTCACTGCATTTAGCAATATAAATGAATTCATGCATTACTGTCATATTACAAAACAAATTACATTTTGCTTGTTTTATTAAATTATATTTTTAGTATATAAAAAGTTATATAAGTATTGGTCAGCATTTAATATTATTATTTTGTTTAAGTTTTGGGGTGGGCTAACAATGAAATTCATTCTGAGGTAATATTAATTTTTAAGCAGTGATACTTAAATTTTTTGAGTATAAAATCAACAGTTTTCTCCAAAAGAGATCTTCAAGCAGCTGCCCGTCTCCTTTATGCAGACATTACAAACGCTGTTCTTGTGCTGTCAAGTTACTGATGTTATGAAGTGTTAGAGCACCTGCCGCTCATATAATTTAAACTTATTATATGCAAGATCATGGAAAGATACTATAGTTTATGTAACAATCATAGTGACAAAACAGAAAATATAAAGATCATTGGTTTGTGTACATCATAATATGACATAAAATTACACAGGAAATAAGAACAATAAAAAAGGCTAAATATCTTCATTATAGTTCTTCATAATACATAAAAAAAGTTGTTGTTATATCTGAGGGATGAAACGAGGTAAATTCATGAAGAAAAAGAGGAAAACTTAAAGGAGAAACTTTTTGGGAATAAAATAAAGAAATTAACAACATAATCAAGAGATGATGATTTTGGGGTTTCTTAATAAAAAAAAAAAATATCGTTAGAATAACACTGTTGGTCACATTAGTAGGGTTTAAAATATAACAAACTTAAATCAACCCTAAATGTATTCACAAAATAAATAGGCAGCTGTTTCTTCAACAATACCACAACAAAATGAGCAAGTTTCATCAATATCAAGATATTTATAGGTAGATTAATTAAACGTATCGTTCATATTTTTTTTTTTATTGCATGAAAGGTGTTGCGCTTTGTGATAAGGCGTAGTAGGTCACATGATAACGTCAACATGGCAGATGTCCGGTTCGCATTCATACTCAACGAGATTTGGCTATAAAGTACCTACTCTTTTAGCGCTCGATGAGTAAGTACTTATTGAAATTAAGTACCTACTCATTGAGTATGCGGTTTGGAACGCATGTCTATGGTCAGAACTCTCTGAATACATGGCTCTGATATCCTCTGTAAGTAACATCACCACACTCCAACTCAGTAGGTGGCGGTAATGCCAAAAAAACTGGTTTGCTAACCGCCAGCAAACAACACAAGAAAAAGAACCAATAGCGCGAAATGCAAATGAAAACAACGTGTGTCAACGGCACAATGAGGTAAAATAAAAACAAAGATAATTTCGCATTGTTGATGCGTTGTTCTTCAGTCAAGGTGAGCAATGAACAGCGCCTGATGTTTCCTAGTAGGAATCCTACTAAGCATTTTAGATGTTTGCGTCTTACCACATGTGAATTTGTTGGTTTGATAGGACATTTGAGCCACGGGTATACTAGTTAATGTTAGTAAAAGTTCTGCATTTGCTCTTGTTTTGTTGTTTACGGCTTGCTTTTTAGAACTATCTCTGATGTCCTTTTTAATTGATACATAATTTTGACGTGTGCTTACCTTGAGTTAACGTTAGACTTCGTGAGGTATGAGTTGCTGGACTTTAACTCACCATGCTTTGTTCTGTTTTAAAATCTTTACTGAATGCTTATTATTATCTGCTTTGCTTGCATCATGTTGAGTTTTCATGTTTTATTTTCTGTTGTTTGGTGCAGTTTTAGAAGGAAACATTTAGAATCAGTCATGACTTCCACAGCACTCCTCAAAGGTAACGTTACTGATGGATATTACTTCAATTATGAGATATTTTTGGTAACACTTTGCAATAAGGTTCATTTTTTAACAACTTTAGTTTACATTAACTATGAATGAACGATAGCTGCTTCTACAGCATTTATAATTCTCAGTTAATATTAATTTCAACATTTACTAATACATTATTAAAATCAAAGGTTGTATTTGTTACAAACAGTAAACAGCTGGATATTTATTAACTAACATTTACAAAGATGAATAAATACTGTAACAAATCTATTGATCATGGTTCATGTTAGTTAATACATTAACTAATGAACCTTATTGTAGAGTGTTACTGATATTTTCTGTCCTCTAGGATGCTCTTATTTTAAAACGTGGATTAATATTGTGTTAACTTATTTTAAACAGATTTCTGAACATTTTAATTTTAACATTTTATATGCACCATGTTAAACTAATTTATTAGACCACCTGTCATAATAAAGAGAAAACACAAATATTTTATTTGCCCATATTAACCAAAAAAACTTTTTATGCTGTCCTTTGGGCTTGATAACAGCTTGCATTCTTGCTGTCATTGATTTTATGTACAGTACTTTTCCTCAGCCTCAAGGTTCATTTTATAGAGCACATAATAATACAACAAGAGCTGACCACAGTGCTGTACATAGAATAAAATAACAATCATAAAATCACAGTTAAATTCTACGCATTACCATGGACGCCTCAACATCTAAGCGCCGTCAGTTGTAACCTATTACACCAGCACATACTTATGAATAATCAAATGCCAAAGTGAAGAAGTAAGTTTTTAAATTACCTTTAAACTCAGTAATAGCAACATGACATCATGACTTTTGCGTAAACATACACGCCACTTTCGAGTCAAGTGGCTTGTTATCTCTACGCGTTTTAAGCTATTCACGTGTATGCGTGTATGTCTACGCCATTAACGTCCGAGTGATTCCTCGTGTCTGTACACGCCGTCAAATGTCCGAGCGAAACAAAGCAAAATGTAGATCTACATCTGGGGAGCTATCTTACCTAGGATGGTAAGGGAACAGTCATAAATGCCATTAACTCCAGTGACGGGTAGGTTTAGAGACGGGTCTGAGGTAAGTCATATATTTATACATACAGTAATAACAGTCAACGGCGTTCATAAACACACTGAAAAGCGATTATGTGTGTTGATAGCACGCCAAAAATGGAAATACGAATTGGCGTGTCATACACATGCTACTTCATGAGATCAGTCTGGTAATAGAGGAACATTCCCTAATTTAATGGGGTAGACGATTCCACAGCCTGGGGGCAGCTGCTGCAAATGAGCGCTCTCATTTTCCTGTACGTGCGCGGGACTACCAGGAGATTGGTTGATTCCGAACGCAATGCTCTTTTTGGTTTATTCACCTGGATTAGATCAGCTCAGCCCCTTGAGGGTATGGCTAAAAAAAGTTAACACTTTAGTTTTGTGTCTAATGCTCACTATTAACTAGTTTCATTAACATGTAGATGGCAGGGTTTTGTAATTACTGAGGTCCCGGATGTGAGGTAGGCTAGTTAGGGGGGTTCGAGGAAATTTTTTATTTCTCTGATCTACATATCCCAAAAAATTGGATAACAATAACTTTAAAAACATGTCATGCAGCTGATTATTTTTCTCTTCTTATGTCATTAAAGAAAGAATACATGGGGTCAGATGATTTGATTTATGAATAATTTTCTCAGACGCGATCATTTACTGAAAGCTACTAGGAAAGCTAGGTAGCATAACTATTATTAAAGGTAGCTAGGTAGCATAGTTTATTAAATTCATTCACAATTGTGGGGGGAAATCCCTAGCCTGGCTCCGCCCTCCTACGCACTTCCGCTCAATTTCATTTTCCTTCAGTACTACGTCTGGGACTGCTGTATATCCTTAGGTTTCCAGAAATCAATTTTTTGTAGGACCAATCAGCGAATAAAGGGAGTGGCTGAGAACGATGACATTGATGTAGGGCGTCAGTTTGAGTTCAGTAATGGCAGCGGAGAAAGACGTGAGAAAAGCTATTCGGTCGGTTGTTGTAAAAGAAACTGCCGAATATACAGAATTTAAAGCTGGATTGTTGTCGTCTCACCTCTTGTTGCACAACGGAGGACCGCGTGAGGGAGGCATAAAGGTTGGAAGTTTGTGCTGGCCAGCTCAGTGTGCACGATGACCGTGACATTTCGGACGGACGCTTTAGCCTGTTGTTCGGAAGCCCCGAGTCCTGGCTGCTAAACTATTGTTGAAGATCCTCTCAGGAGTCTTGTCAGTAGCTCATATTCCCAACAGTAAATGTACTGATTCTTGTGATGAATAGAACATTTTGAGCCCCTGTGTGTACTCGTGCAGGTGGTTGGTGTCAGTTTACTCGTGTCAGTTTTACATGTTGTAAATCATACAAATTGGTTGCCATTTTTTTAAATAATTGTCTTAAATAAAAATGTGAAAACCCATACTTTGAAGGCCATAATTTGATTTTCAGTTTTAGATGTCAATGGTTAATTTGTTTAAAAAAAAAAAAAAACTAAAACTAAATGCCATATAAAAATGTACAAACACATACTTTGAAGACCATAATTAAGAAACAATAAGATGTAATTTGAAAAAATGTTGTTTATTACACATCTGCAGATAGAGACGGATCATTCACTTTACAGCATTTGCGGCAGATCAGAAAACGACCACAGCGGCGTATTTGTAATGATTAGACACAGCCGAATGGATACATCACTGACTGTCCTTCATGTCAAATATACAATTCGAATTAATAATTGTTCCTAGATGAACAAAACCTGCAGCTCTCGTAGACTGAAATCCTATTGTAAACATAATCCTCTGATCATTCGGACTTGTTCCAGCCATTTCGGTGCATGACATACGTCACGACCACACGTTAGCGATTGGCTATGGCAGTTCCTGAGTGACTCTGGGCAGATCCAACAGTTTTGAACTTTAACAGAGAACCCGCCTACAAGGAAGTAAACGTTTCTCAATGGAGAGAGGCCAGACTCTATGTACAAATTAAATGTACTAGAGTCAAGTACATTTAGGAAATCTAGGAAATCCCCCCTTAGATGACTCATGTTTATTTATTTATTTATTTTTTTAAGGAGGCGAAAGGGGGCATTTTTGCCAAACAAAATTGTTAAATTTATCTTACCTAAATGTTTGCACTCATTGCATTTTTACAATGGGGTAATGTTGTTAAGAATTTACACAACACGAGGCTTTATTTAAATTGTTCAATTAAATTGAAAAAAGTTGCACAAATAAATACAATAAAATAAAGATACAAATTAAGACAAATAAAGAGTAAAGTTTTTGAATAGGTCTAATACTAGTATTCTTAGACAGAAACCTAATAAAGTAATCAAATGGATAATAACACTGGATAGTATTTTACTCCTGAATAAAATACATAGGCTATTAATCCTGATTCCTTTAACTTAAAGCTCTCTTTTGTTGTTTTGACGACAAAATTAATGACTGACACACATGGCTGCCGTCACTTTAAGAGCTAGTGCATGGATCCTGTGTTCATTATACTGGCATGCATTTTATGCTTATTAAAGACAAAACTGACTATGTTCAGAGTATACTCACGAAGACCAAAATTGACACAGTTTTGTGTGTTAAAGCAGTATAATCTGTGAAAAATAACATTTGTTACTGGCCAGCTGTTCTTGAGGCGGAATTTCTTTGAATGTGTACATAGAAAATCATCCCAGAAAGCGTGCGGGCACTGATTAGTTTAAAATCGCTTGAATGTTTAAACTGGTAAGACTTAAAAAGACGTGCAAATGGTAAACCATTCACGATGTACTGCTTGCCCAATTGTGCAAGTGAATGTTCCGCCATGTCCCGACTCCTGCCTGCTTGCCTTGCACAACACATTTTGAAGAGATAGAAGACGCGGCACTGCTGAACACTCACACTGTTTGTGAAATTGTGTCTGGCAGATAGTTCTTAAAAGAATGATTTGATTTTATAATCTCTGTGGATTACGATTGTGGGAATATCCCGCATTATAAATGGGAGACCTGCAGGAATGATTATAATTATGCGTGATACCCGCAATCCCGAGCCGAAATTCGAGCCCTGCATGAATCGCGTTACAAAAGCCTATTTTCAGTATATTAGTTTGCCTGTTTATTTTTGTCATTCATTTAACATTTATGACCTAAAAAACTGTCAAATATGAAATGTTTAGTTTAGCTACTTACATCTTATCTCGCCCTTGACCATAAACTGAAGAGTCATTGACTCTGCTAAAATACCAATACCCAATTCAATTTTAAAAGAAGCTTTTCCACAGTCTCTGTTGTTATTGACTTCCAAATAGTTTCTAGTTGTTCCGAATGATTTGCTTTTGATGAAACTTTTGTGCAATCTATCTTTGGATCCACTAAATCCCAAATTTGTTCAATAGGATTAAAGTCTGGACTTTGAATTGGCCAACTGTGACTAAAGTGACAACTGTAACTTCATAAATATACTGGTGGATTAATCTTTACAGAAACATAAAAATATATATTTTGGTAATCCCCAAAACTGTTAGTTTAGGGCAGCTGTGGCACAAATTTCACATTGGGTGGTGCTCTAATAAATTTAAGCACTGTATTGTATCAATTCAGAGGTAATTGACTGAGCTGCTTTACTTTAGCTTTTTCAAGGGTTTTTCAACTCTCTCAAAAAGTGTGAAATATCAATACCATCATATTCTATCAATAAGCCACACCTCCACACATTATACCAAAATATTTTTTTTTCCTTGATGTGATGAATGTTTTAACAGTTGAAGATTATTTCCAGTGGTGCCATAACTTGATTATATTATGAAACAAACTTTTTTTGTTGTGCATTTGAATTTGTTTATCCACTATTCTGTTTCTGCCTTTGAAGACGTGGTGGCGTATGTTGATGTGTGGTCTGCGAGCCGGATGGAGGATTACTCTGATCCGTTCATCCAGCAGCTGTTGAGCATGGGTGCAGAGGTGATAACTTTTTTGTCTACTGTTTTACAAATTAAATTAGTTTTAAAATGTAAAATAAATGACCACATTATAAATTGCAGGTATCGAAGACACTCAACAAACAAGTGACCCATGTAGTCTTCAAACATGGCCGCCTGTCCACATGGAAGAAGGCCCAGACAATGGGTGTTAGGATTGTTTCTGTCCACTGGGTAGCCAGGTAAAATGTGTAGCACACACAATTCATCTTCTGCATGTTTATCTCAATAAAACCAGCAGTAGGGCTGTCAAAAGGGCTGAATTTGAATTTAAAAAGCATCATTTAATTTAGAGGAAAAACAGCTTTTGTATTATCTCCTTAAGTCCACAAGAGGACGCAATGAGCCAAATAATAACGCACAGCATTCAATTTATTCAAAGAAATGAACTAATATGACTGTCTGTAAAAGTGCATAACATTTAGACTAATGTTCATAAATCAAATATAATTTTGTAAATTTCATGAATAATTCTAAACATAATAGCATAATTCAAGAGTCAAAGCGCTGACAAGAGTAATTTTTTTTTGCAATTTTTAAAAACATGAAATGCAGTTGAATAGGAAAAAACCCACAAAGTCTTGATTTGTTTTTTAAAAGTTGAACTACTTTTAACTTTACATGGCTTTCTAAACATGCCATGTCATGCTTGTGTCTCCTGTCCGAGACGCAAGCGCAACAGTCAAAGTTGTCCGTCTTGTGCATGTTTACACAAAAATCAATGGAAAAGCAGTGCAGAAAATGCATTCTGTTTGTGTGAACGGCTTGGTTACGGTTTAGACGTAACCAAGATTTTCTCCGCGTTAAGTAGGGATGGGTATCGTTAAGGTTTTATCGGTATTACCAGGGGTGAAAATTTCATCAAAATGTTGGGGGGGACAATAAACATAACAATTCTCAAGAGCAAATTTTGAAGGGGACACCAATAATACAGGCAAAAAAATACAGAGGAAAGCCTTACTATTATTATTAGTGTATCATGGAGACCATTTCATTATACTTCTTAAAATTTCTTTCTGGTTTAAGCCAGCGGCGAATCTGTTTACATACTCTCCTCACGCAGCGCAGTGATTTCATTTCATTCATTGACTCATTCTTTAACTATATTAAATGATATAAACCAACTAAATCACAGTGAAAGTGTTACAATCTAAATGCACAGCGCACCCGGACTTTCTCACCAGTGTATGGCCAGCAATATTGTAATGTTTAATGACATGAAGATAATGTCTGTTCTAAGTTATTATCGTACTGTACAATTAAATACAATCGTTCCTGAGTCTGCAGTCTGAAAACTTTACCTTTCAGAATCTCAGCTGAACGGCGCCGCCGGTGTGTGTACACTCATAGAGAATAATGTGTTCGAATTTTAAAGACGTGGCGCTGCGCGACGCTTCTCGTCCGGTGTGCGACCCCTTTACTGGAGTTCCACAACTACTCAAACTATGTTTTTCTCTCCCGCCACCGGAATGTGTGTGTCTGAGGTAAAAGGGACGGAGGCAGTGGACCAATGCACTGTGAGGCAAGGGAGGAGGGTCTCAAAATGTTTAGAACGCTTTTTTCAATATTGCCCCATTTGCATTTGTGTTATTTTATTTCTTAATTATTTTAAGAATATATCATTATATTATTTACAATACACATATTTTAATGTTTTTTTTGGGGGGGGGACAACCCTCAGATAGGGGGGGTCCTGACCCCCCCGCGATTTCCGCCTATGGGTATTACTACTCTTACCGATACCGCTTATTGATCCGGTACTTTAACGATTTTCTTATCGGTTCTTTTTGGTGTTTTTTTATTTATTTATTTATTTTTTTAAAGAATTAAGAACATAATTAAACTTTATATTTTGAAATGAAAAATAGAAAAAGCAAAACGAAGAAAAATATCTTTTTGTTATGCAGCAGTGTGCAGGCTTTTTTGTTTATACAAAAAGGACGCATAAGAAAAAAACAAGTACAAACACAAGAATACAAGTCCGTTTCGGAGCGCGCACAGCCTTGAACAGCGTCTCTTGCGCAGGTTTTTGTGTTTTTAATAGCCATTTTCTTGATCTTGCAACAGTAGAAGACAGCATTTTGCAACAATCGCCGATCGTGCTGATTCTGATGGTTACGTTTGGGTTTTAGGAAGAACTGACAGCGCTCCACAGTGCTGTGAAGTAAAGGAAGTTAAGCTGGACAGATCGTCTCGTTTTTTAACGGTTTTATCTCAAATATCTTCTTTTTATAATCTTTGGAAGCCGAAATACAAAATATATTAGAATAATATCCCAGATCTAAAGTGTAACCACGCTGAATGTTTAGTTCTGTCCTCATTGTCACTCATTAAGCAAGGGCTGTCGTGTTGCGCGTGCTGTGGCTTTGCGTGAGAGATCGCTCTCTCTCTTCTCTCTGACCCCATTTACACCTGGTATTAAAATGCGATCTGTATCCAGATAAGTTATCCGGATAATAAGTACCGATTCCATTTACACCTGGCCACATAAATGTGTTTTTGCAAAACGGATATAAATCCGATCTTCACCTCCTGCGTTATATGCAGATTTAATGGATTGCACGCCACCAAAAGCAACAGATCTGAGTGGCATTTTATTGATCATCAGCTAATTTCCAAATCAGAGACATCAATAAGAGAGTGGCAACAGCGCTGGTAAGATAATTTCGTTTCTTTACTTGAAGATGTGTTGACTGCGTCTGTGACTTACTTTCACTTTTATTTGCGATGTTTGCACGTTGAATAGACGCTCAGCTGCTCATCTGCGGTGATGCGTGTCGCATCTGACTAGGCTATAACATGACATAGCCTATAACACGCTCTCACTCGTTTATTTTTTAGCATTTTTGGGAGGAGTAAAATATACATATGTGGTTTCAACAACCAGATTGCGTTTACACCTAGTAAAGATCCGGACACAATGCGAGCCAGACTACCTCCAGATGTGGTCAGGCAGATCCGATCACAACGCATTTACACCTTGCATTAACATGCGTTTTTTTATTATCCGGATAACTTATCTGGATACAGATCGCATTTTAATACCAGGTGTAAATGGGGTCCCTCTCTCTCTTCTGAGCTGTGAATTGCAAATTTGCATCACAGACAAATGGTTTAATTAAAATATAGTTTATATATAGAAATGGCTGGCGATATAAACATGTTCAAGATAACGTCGTTATAGGAATAAATAGTAGCCCAACTTTACTTAATTTCTCCAGTACCGACAGCAGAACCGTTAACGTCCGAGCTTATCGATACAGCGGTCTTTCAAAATTCAGTACCGGGGCCCGTTTAATACCGGGTTTCGGTACCCATCCCTAGCGTTAAGCCTCTCTATTTCTGCAGTGTTTTGCATCTAGTACCGCATGTAGCAGGTTCAACTAGCTCAGCTAACAAAAATAATAAAACACAATGTCATCATCCCATTTTTTTTATCGGGGGTGAAGAGCCTTGGTGAGAGAGGTAAAGGAGAACCCAAAGATCACTGTGGCTGAGCTCCAGAGATGCAGTTGGGAGATAGGAGAAAGTTGTAGTAAGTCAACCATCACTGCAGCAATCCACCAGTCGGGGCTTTATGGCAGAGTGGCCCAACGGAAGCCTCTCCTCAGTGCAAGACATGAAAGCGTGCATGGAGTTTGCTAAAAAATCACCTGAAGGACTCCAAAATGGTGATAAATAAGATCCTCTGGTCTGATGAGACCAAGATAGAACTTTTTGGCCTTAATTCTAAGCATGGTGGTGGCAGCATCATGCTGTGGGGGTGTTTTTCAGCTGCAGGGACAGGACGACTGGTTGCAATCGAGGGAAAGATAAATGCGGCCAAGTACAGGGATATCCTGGACGAAAACCTTTTCCAGAGTGCTCTAGACCTCAGACTAGGCTCACCTTCCAACAAGACAATGACCCTAAGCACACCGCTAAAATAACGAGTGGCTTCACAACAACACCGTGGCTGTTTTTGAATGGCCCAGCCAGAGTGAGCATCTCTGGAGAGACCTGAAAATGGCTGTCCACCAACGTTTACCATCCAACCTGACAGAACTGGAGAGGATCTGCAAGGAGGAATGGCAGAGGATACTCAAATCCAGATGTGAAAAGCTTGTTGCATCTTTCCAAAAAAGACTCATGGCTGTCAAGTCAAGTCACATTTATTTATATAGCGCTTTTCACAATACAGATTGTATCAAAGCAGCTTCACAGTGATAACATGAAAGTAGTACAACACAGATCAATAATATTGTTAAATATTAAATAACCCCAACTAAGCAAGCCAAAAGCAAGGCAATAGCAAGGCGACAGTGGCAAAGACCCAAAACTCCATCAGATTGGATGGAGAAAAAAAACCTTGAGAGAACCCAGGCTTAGTCGGGGGCCAGTTCTCCTCTGGCTAACATTCATATTGTTTATATATAAATATTAAATATAAATATTGTTTATATATAAAACAGCGCCATAACATATCGCCGGCGTTGAGTCGTCTCATCACATGCGTTGGGGCATCCGAAATCCCCGTGAGAGGCTGGATACAAAACTGGACCTGACGAACGCCATTTGCAGAAAGGCAGATGGGAAATAATTAGCATAGCTGATGTTCATAATGATTTCCATTATACGGGAGTCGGTGTTAGAAAACCACTATCTCTCAAACTCTCCGTAACCCAAACTCTCCGCAACCCAACCATACGCGCTGACCCGTTTGTCTAAAAGGCTGTCGAGCCCCACTGGTGCGTTAAGCATTTTCAGTGGCAAACTGTTCCGTATGGCATAACAGAGGAATAAGAGGTAAGCATTATGTGAATGCTTGACTAAAGAGATGCGTCTTTAATCTAGTTTTAAAGGGTACCTATTATGGCATTTAAAATGTTCCTAATATTGTTCTGGGAGTCCCCAACAACAGTTTTACAAGCATGCAATGACAAAAAACACTTTTGTTGTCTTATAATATGCATTTATTGTTACCTGATTTGCTCACCGACTCCCATATGAATCGTTTACCGAGTCCTTTTTCCAAAACCCGCCTTTGCGCGACGCTAATCTGCGGTGATTGGTCAGATGACCTAGTCAGTTGTGATTGGTATTCTCTGTGCAGAGATTGTCGAAAACGGAACGCCTATCACCTTAAATGGGTTCTCAACTCCAGTCCTCGTGACCCACTGCTCTGCATATTGTGTATGTCTCC